TCTCCATGTATCTGATTATTACTAGTCACAGTTGGTTACACTCAGCTCCTTAGTACCTGAGTATGGATATAAAGTCATCAGGTAGATGTCACTGATAATGTTTATCACCTCTACTATTTAACATAAAGTAAATTTTTATGCTTCCTCCTCAAATATAAGTCTTTTTAAAATTTTTGATTTTTTGTGTGTTTATATCATACAGAACATCCCACACAATCTTATTCATCTATATACCCACTTCCCAGATGGCACCTCTCATAGCCTCCCCGTTGTTTTGTTTTTTGAAACAGAGTCTCCCTGTAGCCCCAGGTGGCCTGAACTTCCTAGGTAGACCAGGCTGGCCTCAATCTCAGAGCTCCACCTGCCTCTGCCTCCCAAGTGCTGGGATTAAAGGTGTGCACTATCATGTCTGGCAAGGTGTCCATATTTTAAGCTGCATTTCAAGACACCATGTCTGAATTTGGACATGACTTCCCTTCATCTTGTATATCAAACTCCAGCAGATTTAATATGAGCATTCATCATCTGTCAAATCTTTCACATGTCCTTCAAGACAATCAAGTGTAGAACTGTCAATATTTTCTGTCAAGAAAAGAAGCTGTCGTTATAGATTTGATGCAGACCCGTTTCTTCCTTTCCACACTGAACTTGCTAGCTGCCATCTGAATTGGGTTCAGAAGATGGGCAAGCAGAGACATTTCTTGGCCTAAGTAACAGCAGAGGCAGAGAAGAGAGGAGCCTGGCTGTTGACTGCAGGGTGTTGTCACCAACCCCGGGGGTAGCACTGGTTGGGTTTGGGGCAGTGGGGGTATTCTAAGAAGAGAAACTTGACAATGGCACAACAGCGTGTGTTTGGAATAAATCTGTGTGGGTAGAAGTACAGAAGCAGCACCCCTAACTGGCTGCTGTCACTGCCCACATCCTGCTCTGTCCATGCACAGTATGCCTCACTGGACTTCTGCAGAGATTAGATGCTCCAGCAAGCCAAGCAAGACTGGTGGTGTTTTGTTTTAATGAAGTAGGGCCTTGCTATGTAGCCCAAGCTGACCTCAAACTCTGCCTCCTCCTGCCTCAGCCTCCCAAGTACCCAAGTACTGGGAATACAAATGTGAGCCACAACCAGACTCATAGTTTTCAAGTTTTGTTTTATTTTTACAGTGGGCAAGTAATCCTGTCAAAAGTCAGAAAAATTTACTTCCTATGCTTTTCCTCAATAACCCTACATTTGCTTTGAAAAAAGAAAAATCAGAAAAACATTTGAGTATTTAAATAAGCTCCCTACAAAAAAAATAAAAAAAGATTTTGGGGGTGGAATATCTCCTAGCAGGTGTGTCTACACTGAATATGATGACAATGTCACCTACAAAGCTCATACTCAAGAACCATGCAATCAGGTTATAAAAATAATGTTTTCAGTGCAAATAATGTTGGGCCATACTCATGGGTATCCCCAGGCATGTGGCCGATGGGTTGGACAAGCAGGTTTGAGCCAAG